CGGTCCTTTCGCCATCGCGGCGTCAAAGACTTTACCTGGACACTTGGGTATTGCACAATGGGTTTTCCCCCCGCGAAGTCTATTTATGAGAAAAAAAAATTAATATTTTTTAGTGTTTAAGGAAACGTTGAACCTACGTTTGCAAAAGTTCTTAGACATTCAAAGATATTTAATTCCTTCTTTATCAAATCAAGAAACTGGTTATACGTAAAATCAGCAAATAGGGGTCTTTACTTATGTCATGAATATCACAGAAAAAGATAGAAAGAAAGACAAAGAAATTTAAAAAATCGACTTTTAATCCCCTTTTCTGTGACGACCGGAAGAATTGACGACGGAAAAAATGTTGTTCGACACATCTTCAAGTCCAGATCTATGATATCTGACACAGTAAACTTTCATATCTTCAGCTGTTCTGGAGAAATGGACCGGACAAAGGTCATTTCCAAAAGTTGGTCAATACGAAAATAGTAAGAATATTACAAAATGTCACTGGGTGAAAAAAGTGGTTTCCCATCATGGGAAACTTTATGGAAACCACATGGAAACCTCAAGTTTACATCATGTTTCCCAGTGGTTTCCGTAGCGGATGCTAGGTTATTCCGCCAAGTTTCCGTGACACGGAAACCCCCTACGCTCCGATTCCATAAGGTATCCTGAACCACGGAAACCTCTGTAAACCTGAAGTTTCCCGAACATCCACGTAGTTTCCCGTAATGGGAAACCTGAAGATTCCACTGGTTTCCAGAATCAGGAAACTTGATGGAATCGGAGCGTAGGGGGTTTCCGTGGAATGGAAACTTGGTGGAATCTTTAGGTTTCCTTTTACGGGAAACTACATGGAAGCTCGGGAAACCTCACGATTCCTAAAGTTTCCTTGACTCAGGAAACCACATGGAATTGGAGCGTAGTGGTTTCCGTGGAATGGAAACTTGATGGAATCTTTAGGTTTCCTTATACGGGAAACTACATGGACGCTCGGGAAACCTCACAATTCCTAAAGTTTCCTCGAATCAGGAAACCATATGGAATATGAGCGTAGTGGTTTCCGTGGAATGGAAACTTGATGGAATCTTAAGGTTTTCTTTTATGGGAAACTACATGGAAGCTCGTGAACCTTATGATTCCTGAAGTTTCCTTGACTCAGGAAACTATATGGAACTTGTGTAGCACTTTCTGTGTGGGGGAAACTTGGTGGAATTATCTGGAGTCCCATTCCTGGTGGAAATTACTGGGTAACTTCAAGATTCCCTAACTTTTCTAAAGGAAGCAATGTGAAATAATGCGTATTCTTTTAAAAATCTATCAAAAAAATTTATTACATGTAAAAGAAAAAAGCATTACCATTTTATGTGTTTAATAATTCATTTGATGTACAAAAACTGTAACTGAATTTTTCAATGATATCAAAATATTAAATAAATTCATATATCTTAGATAAACAATGGAACAGTCTTTCACATTTAAGTCCATTCATAAGGGTCATTAAGTACTTCTTTCAACATCAGTTTCCTGGTTTTCTTCACATCACATATGATCTGCAATATTCATACAAAATTATTATATGATGTCAGAATTATAATGCTTGAATACAACTTAGAAATCTGAAAGATCAGTCAATGTCCTTTAAAATACCAATATCAATAATTACTTTCCATGACCATGATACATATGATTTCAGCATTTAATGTATCTCTTTAATATTTAATGCTTTATGATAAGTGAAAAAAAATAACATAATATAAATAATGTTTTCAGCCTTATTATGTCATTGAGAATATATTACTACATGTATCTCATACTAAGAACCCTGCTTTAAGTTTGATTAGTTTGAGAGAAAACATGCCCTTTATAATAACAAAAATATTAGGGAGAGATTTTTTTTTTTAATTTTGATATTCAACCTAGAAATTGGTTTAAGATCATTGCAGACTCTCCACCCCATTGCACAAAAGCTAGATTACACCAGGGGAGAAATATACTCTGGACTACGATTTTAAATAAAGATATACAGTAGATTTTGATACTGACCTTTGACCTAGAAAATTAGTCCAAGGTCACTCTTCATCCTCTATCCACAGGCTCTCTGTAGTTTAAGTTTGAGAGAGAAATATGCTCAGAACAAGTGATTATCAGATGGTGTGATTGGTAGACACTGTCTTAGGGCATCCACAGAACAGGACCTAAAAATAATGCAATATATATGTATTACAGTATATATACACATGTACTTGTATGCTAATGATTTATCATATGCTGCATTGGACACATGATTTTATCATGGTTTAAGTATACATGTATCTTATGAGTAATTTTATACCGGTATTGCATGTACGCTCAGTTTATTTAAGAAATAAATAACAAGTTTATAAACTTCAATGGGAGAGATACCACAAATGTATATATATTATAAACAAGTAATTTAATTTTTTTTTTTTTTTTTTTACATATATTGACCAACATTATATACATCCATTCATCCTGTTCATGAATTGGCTGATCAAAATTCAGTGAGTTTTAGATCTATATGATATACCATAAAGGACTTTCACATTTACAAAAGTTATTCCCCTTCTCAGGGTCGATCTGGGGTCAACCGGCTTAAGACGCTGTTTTCCCTCTTTAACCGTATCAACTTTGAGGGACAATATCTTAGAAATAAAATCTGTATGAACATATTCATTATGATTTTCATGTTGCCCCCATACTCTGGCAATACAGATCATAATTGTCCAATATTTTTGAAGATTGAAAATATTAACAAGTAACTTACAAAGGACAAAGTGGGAAAAATGAGCGATACGCCGACAATTGGAGAAAACTCTTGGGAATGTGAAATTCGTCTATTGGTGATGACAATTCCTGTTTTAATGTCACTGAAAAAATAAGAGACATTAAAAATTTAAGCCCTATTGTCATACACGCATGCTGTTTTTTTATCCATATAACCTTTTAGTATCATAAAATTTACCAAAGTTTAATACTTCAAATAATTTCATTGAATATCTATAAAATAAAGGAAACTCTAAAAACTTAGTGACTTGCAGAAATTATTCCTTGGAGAGAAAAAAATCTATCATATTTCATACAAATGAGCCTTTTTTATTCATTTAGAACATATGGTATGTGCCTCATTTCCCCCAAGAAATTTTCAAAGACAATGGACTATCTGTAAGCAGAAATCATTGCTGTTTACTTACAATGGAAAAATTTATGAAAATAATTAATTTCCTATTTTTTTTTATTTTAAATAATGCTAAAAATAATTTAATCTACTAAAAATAATCTAACTGACTGTAAAATAACATTTTTCATAATCTTAATCTATGGGCAGATCACTCTAACTTCATAAAACTACCTGATATTAAAGTAGAACTCTTTAGTGAGCAGTTTTTAGAGCTTCCTTTAAGTAATCAAAATACTGGACAGCAAGAAATCAGTTAATAAGCATTTCCTTTTTTTTCATTCAAATTTTTGGAGAGATCTCAGATTTTTTTCCTGTTCAATTCAGGTTCAAGACGACAAAGTTTTATTGAAGTGTATGTATTAGAGAACTGATTGTATGTCAATCATAGCAATACACACATAACATGGAGGGGGCAAATTGTTTCAGCCCTAGCTTTTACATAAAACTTCTTGTAGCTCACAGCTGATATACCACAGTTCAGTATTTAAATAAAATTTAGAATCTTTTTTTTTCAGGCAATTGTCATATACATACTAATCATGAATGAATTACCACTTACCAAATGACCACATCCTGAATCATCATACATTTTCTATGATTTTATCTCACTGGTTTTCTTTTAAAGTCACAGTTTTTTTCTCTCTGAAATAATAAATTATGTCCAGGTACTATTGCATTCTAATTTAAACTAATTATGTAATAGCATTAGAAACAACCGGAATGGAAGAAAAAATAACCAGAAGTCTCTGTCGAGACTGTAGCTCTACTGGTTTGTACTTATCAAAAACTGATGCACAGAATTATGTATCTTAGTATAGTCTACTTGTGTGCCAAGTTATATTGAAATCAGACTAAAATTTAAGGAGGAGTAGTGTTTGCAGACAGATGGACAGACAGACAGCGGACGCCGGACGCATTACTTTCGCATAAGCTCTTCTGGTCTCTGACCAGTAGAGCTAAAAACAAGATGCGCTTGTGAAACACAGCAACACAGTTCAAAAATGCAATTTTTTTTTAGCATACAGGTCACAGTCAAGATCACATAATCATTGTCCTTGTTGCCATTTGAAAGCACTTCATTAGTGGAGTATGCATACTAAATATGAAGCCACTATCTCGTATAGTTCTAAAGTTATGGTGAAGGTTTAAGTTGACAACAGACACTCAGACAGACACACACTGACAGATATACAGTTATGGCAAAAGTTTGAACATTATAACTTGGTATACACACAGCCACTTCGAGGTATCAAGGGTAAAATTCACAGCACAGCGGGACTGCATTTTGACTTCGAGGGATCAAGGGTTTCGAGAGATCAGGAGTTCGAGAAATCAAGAGCAAATCTGCTTAGTTATATAGTGGAAAAAATCGGGACCGGAGACACTTCAAGTGATCAAGAACTTCCGAGAAATGAAGTTCAAGCCATCAAGAGTTACCTGTATATACAGATATAAGAAGCATGTTATTATTTGCAATTTTGACCTAATGACAGCTTAATCTGTTCAGTAAGACAATACCGTGTACATGTATGTAAGTAGTTTTATTGTGCATGATTATTTACTTATTTTCTTGATCTTCTCAACTTGAAGTGTTCTGTATTCTATTACCAAGTTTGTAATAAACATAATGAAACATACCCTTTTCCACATCACAATTCACATCCTGTATCAGACCTTAGACCAATATCAGCCCTAGGGCCTCTGTCCCTCTGGCTGATATTGGTGTCTCGGGCTAGGATGTGATAAATTGGAAAAGAGTATGTATTATTCGTTATACATTGACCTACTCAGGTCAATAATTGTGAAAAAACTGATAATTCAAGCTGATGATTCATTTGCATTTCTTGACATACTATCAATGTTAATTCACTATTAGGCTTTTCTTTTTTTTACATCTTCATCTCAACAGGTTAGACATTACAAAAAAATCTTTTGAGCAGCAGTGATTGGGATAAGCACGCGCCCTGCGCCATAGTCGCATTAAATTTCAAAATGTCACATTAAAATTAAAATCGCTGCGCCATCGTGGCGCATATATAATCATGCACTACCTACTTTTAAACTTTGAGCTTTCCCCCAAGCGTTTGTAGTATTTCCCAAAACAATCGCTGTCAATTTACGCTTGATAAAATAGTATTTAATGTCGTTCAATTAAAGCGTTCATATGACTTTCTTTTCTCCAGTATCTAATCAAACAGTTACGTGTTTTCTGCTTGGCTAATGCACAGGAAATAAACTGGTGTCAGGCATGCAGCATGCTGCCTAAGAAAATACTTCGTACCGATAATGGGCAGACTTTTCTTAATTTTAACAATCCTAACAAACAGAATTCAAGTAGATTGGTAGAAAATGACCCGGAAGAAGTATAACATACTGACAGAACGAATGGAGATGAATCTGGCGGTAAGACTGATGTAGTCTCGGAGGAAAAACCGAAACGAAAATTTAACATGAATCGGAGGGAAGCAGTATAGATCTTAACCAGGCTTTAAATCATTTTAAAGATGTCAAACATCGGAGACAAAAAATAAAGAATTGAAATTAATTTGCCGTGTTTATTTATTTTCTGACACTTGTGAATTTGAATATACTAATTTTGTATATTTTAATGTCGTCATTTAATAATTTGACAATTTCAATTAAGTAAAGTCAACTGAAATTCTAACAGCAAGAAATCAATTGCAAGTTTGTAACTAGGAAATGTCCCATTAAAAAGTCTGTTTGGCGCATTGAATTTTGAAATGTCACATTGACACTGACTTAGAGTGCGCCATTGTCACATTTACTCCCTAGCTTAGGCCAGGATAAATAAATAGTGTGTTTCCTAATCCACCCTGAGAAAAAATAGGGTAGGTAGGTAGGAAAAACATTTTATTTTATTTAAACATTTTATTGGCAAGCACGCTGCCATTTTCCTCTATAGAAAAAACATTCAAAATATTTCTGATTAATGTGCCTATGATAAGCATTTTTCAAACAGGGAAGTGATTCAGATTAAGATTTTTAACAGTAAAACTAGAATAATTAATTAGGGTTTTCATATTGAACTGTAACTATAGGACATCTGGCATATTTACCAGAAAAGTTAAAGGACATTCTGTCTAAACTTCCTAAAATTATAGGCCAATTAATAGTGTCGGGTCCGTTCAACATTTATCATTTTAGCAAGCCAAGTTATAGTTGAAAATATACAATTCCTTTTAAAATTCTTTCATCCCATGCTTAAATGAAGTCAGGTCAATGTCTTAAGAAGTAAAATACTGAACAAGTGTCACTCAATTGGTTTCATTTAATTTTTTAATATAACATTATTTTAAGTCATTTTTACCGAATTCTCGTTGCCGGATAGTAAAGGGAAATTGGAAAAATAATTAAAATCGATTATCGGTAATAATCGGCTGGACATAATTGATTAGAATCAATTTTTTTATCATTAATGAAATTAATATAGAATAGTTATTTAACTTGCTCAGATTTCAGTCAGACTTTAAAAAAAAATCATTTAATTTCATAAAATATTCAAAAATGTTCATTAATTTTCTTTTAATAAAGTGGAAAATAATATATTTTGTTTACTTTAAACTAAATCATTACAATGAAACAGAAGGGGAATTTACTTTTTTTTTTTAAATTCCATTCAATGGGTATTTTACTGATATTAGTCCCACCTTTATTACATGTACATCAGTACAGGTATTTATTTCTTGGGATTACAACATGTACAAGTTTTAAAAGTAGTTATCCAAAAATTAGACTTGTTAGTCTGATTATATGTATTACGTTAATTTACAGATTGTCTAGACTAAACAAATGATTTCCTTTCTATAGTAAAACCTTGCAACATTGTCTTTTTCCTGTTATGAGTCTGACCCCATATTCAATCATGGCGGTAAAAATATCAACAAGGCATGGAATCCTTCGATGTTTTAAACATTCATCACTACTTTTGTGTTCTTTGCACTTGGATTTGGAAGTAAAATTAAAGTATTTTTTGTCAAGATCTAATACTCAAATGGTGTTGACTGATGAAATCTGCAGTTGCAGAAAGAAGTAAAAAAAATAATCGGATCTGAATGGGGGAAAATATACGACTGCCCTTTACATACAGAAGTCATTCGGCCGTTATGTCTGATCAATGTTAAACTTACAGGCCATTTTGGCAGGTAAATTTTATTTTTTTCCCTGCCATTTGAATTTTTATCAGTATAAATGGCCGAGGGTCGACACCAATCTGAAACCCTGTTACTCCTGGAAATATATGACAGAAAAAAATGTTCAGGATCGGCTCGAATATTCTAGGGTCGGTCGGGGAACCGGAAACACACTATTTATTTATTTAGGCCTTATCCCAATCACTGGAGCAGTAAACTATAAACAATAAAACAAACCTAATCTCTTCAGAAAAGTGGACAGGCTTTCACCTACATTCACTTTTTTATGTATATTTTTCCTCCATATCATCGTCATGCATATGATTAAGGATTATGCTATTCGCTACAATCTATTCCAACTGTTCTGATGAGGATATCCTTCATGAATAATCGGATAAGCTAAGATTGAAGACACTTTTTGTAAAAATATCGATGCTTTTATCAAAGTTTTGAACCAAAAATATTTAATTTATACCTTGCCATAAGTCGTAAGTTCCAAAAAACAAGAGTTGGCTATCCGAAAAGTCAGAAAACACATGTATTCAAACCGGATGTTCTACAGTCTGAATTTAACTACAAAACCATGCTCGGTGTAACTATTATCATCCGGATAATTTGAGCGGGGTTAAATTTTTTTTTTTTTAATTCAGAAAAGTATTCATTTATATATAGAGAGAGAACATACATTTTAATAAACATGATAAAAGGCGAAACGTTGCCATTTTACAACATACAGCATGCACGGTGCCTTTGGGGCCTCAATAATCTAAGTTATGCTATATCACTTTCTCAATTTTTTTTTTCTCTCTCTCTCTCTTTCTCTCTGCAATATACATACTTAACAATTTAAAACTTAGGTATCCAAATTTTTA